GGAGGAGTGGGATACGAACACGGAGCACAAGTCGGAGTCAACGATAAAATTTATTTACGCCCGACGCTGGTGCTTACTTTTGATGGGTTTTTTATGGTCTCGGTCAGGGAGTCATTGCGGCCGGGTATTTGGCTTTCATTTTTCATGCTGAACTGTCTTTTTTCTGCATTTAGCATATGTTTGGTCAGTTGCATAATTCAGAATTACGCAGAGACACGTGAAGCAAACAACTATACCCCATCGAAACTCACACTCTTTAGCAGGCACTGGAATCGCTTTTGCATCTTGAGGGGGAATATCTTCTCGGCTTTTGCCCGTTCCAACTGGTATTTGGCCAGCATCTGCCTCTTCTGCTCATCAGGATCCACCGGTTGCAGGGGTTGCATGTACGGAAAGTGGCTGTATTCAGAAATAAATATCTTAGATATACTTAAATATTTAATTTGTATACTCACGTGGCTTCCATTTTCTTGAGACACCGCAGAAACTCCTCATTTGTGGAGAAATCCTTACGATGTATACGACTCTTTCCCACACAGCAGGTCTTTTTCTTTACCTAAATAAAGGTAAACTTTTTATGCAAAACTAAGACAAGTTAAGTGTTTAATAAGCACGCACCGCAAGAAGACCTACGGATTTCAACACTTTCAACGTTTTACTTTTATCCTTACAGGTAGGTGGATCGGGATACTTGGTGAGGCCGTGGCCTATTTTGTGCTCGGCTGCCTTCAGCACTGGCTCGATAAGCTCGTCAATTATCTTGCCGACCCTCATTAGCTCGTTGCGACATTCTATTAAGAAGGTATAATATTTAATTTGAAAAGAAAATATCATAGTTGTTTCATTATTTGCGAGATAGATGAATAATTTACGTTATCAATTAGTCTTGTAGGTGTGCCAGTACTGTTATACAGTTAAACAAATTTAATAAAAGATCTCAGAAACAACATCCGTTAGATAGTCATCTCTTGGTAATGGAAGCTGAACGTACTTTTTACCTCCATATTTTTTATTTTTTAGAAAATATTTAAAAATTTTTGGGATAGGAATGGATTGTTTCTATCCCAAATATACTTATACTTGTCCCTCACCCTGTGGAGTTCGGAATGCATAATGATCGCCGGCAGTGAACTTCTCCTTCTTTGGAGGTCCTTTCAGGTTGTTTACTCTCATGTGGCGAGCGGAGGGTGTACGATAGGCCCCAATCAGTTCGGAGGGAGATCCGTGCTGTCGCCTCAGCTGATTGGTCCACAAGGAGGACCTGGTCCCACAGCCCGGGTAAAAAATCCTTACTCTCCGATTGCAGTAGATTTCCAAAAGCTGGCTGGTCATTTCATAGATTTCCTGCTCACTGGGCCGCACTGACAGGGGAGGGTGTCAAATTTTTAATAATGCACACTGAATAAATATGAACGCTTATTTATTACCGCCAGTCATCCATTTGTCAATCCAGGGAAATTGATTACAAGCTGCAGGCGAAAAAACGAAAAAAAACGAAACAAACCAATGGTAAAAAATAATGCGAAAAAATGAAATTGAAAATCGCATTTAATATTTGCCCACGAATATGACATGGGTCTGTCTGCACTTTTCAAATTTGATTTTTCCCCTTTTTTCGTGACTTTTACCGTGCCTGAAAGGCAGGTCAAATAGGTTTGTTTGTGCAACATGAAATTGTTTTAAATAAAAGTCACGGCGCCAGAGTTCGATTTTTAACTGATTAAACTGGAATTAATTTCCATGCCGGGCCTTTACAAACGGAATTCCCCCGGGCCGAGTGGACATCTCTGGCTATCTGTGGCCACCGTACATATGCATTTGCATGCTAATGTCTATTGGCAACACGCTTTTATGCTATTGTGTAACCGGATCCCTTATTAGACCTCGCCATCCATTCCGGCATTAAATATTAAAAAACTAGACACAAAAATGAAACATTTTTATTACAAACTGGCGACAAAGGTCGAGAGTGAAGAGAGATAGGGATATTTGTGGGGAATATCTGATACCTGGGTTCCCTAATATTACCAAGGGATCATAATATTATATATAAAGTTTATTTCGTTATGGAAAATGTTTAACTTTAAAATCAAAGTTTCTACGTTATAAGTAAATTAATTTTTAACAAAATTAAGTCAAGCATATTTTCAACAAATTCCTTAAAAATAAATATTTAATTGGGATGTGTAATAAAAACTATAAAGTCGGATAGGAATATTTATTACATATTCATAGATAGAATACTTCTTCAAAGTATCCTTTCTTCCTAAAGAGTATACCACGGAAAAAAACGCAAACATAAAAATGTTCCATGTAAATGCTAAATAAAACACTATGATAAACATGTAGTAGAGTCAGTCGACCCGTCCTTCGTCCTTTCCCTGCACCACCCCCATGTCCACCCACCCCCTCCCACTTTCCTCGCCCTGAGTGCCCTGCTCTCCCAAAGGATATTCAAATAAATGTCATACGCATTTGTTTTTTGGTTTTACCTTTTTTTCCTCATTTCGGTTATAAAATTTTATGTTAAAAGGATAATGTTTGAAATTTTTATGTTTACAGGTGAACAATTTTCCAGCGAGCTGCGCTGTGGGAGCCCGGAAAATTGGGCAAAGCTGTAAAATGGGGGAGCAGCCAAGAAGGAATTAAGAGCTGGGCGAGGGAGCCGCTCCAGTCGGGGCATGTTTTCGCATTTAATAAAGTATTAAGTGTTATGTTTTTGCGGTAAAGTTCGCACTCATTGAATAACACAAAATGTGTGGCAATTTGTTTGGGGCTGTTCCCCCTACCCGGCACCTGGGATAATGCGCAAATGTTGTTCAACTTAATTGTCATCACTGGCTGTGGTTTTTCCCTAACTCTCACTTACCCGTAGAGTCAAAGTTGTACGTATGATCCTTGGCATCGCGCAGCATCTCGAACTGCTCGGGCATTATGATGTCCTCCAGCTGCAATTCCTGAAGACTGTCATCATCGCACTCGTCATACTCGTCCTTTACGTTATCCAAATCGTATCGATGGAAATCGAACTCCCGATTGCAGCGTCCCACAATTTTGTCAGTTTGCATGTGGGCTATTATGGGTATTTATAGATTTAATGTAGGATTTTATATAATGCCGAAAAAGGAACCCATACATATCTTCTCCTGCAGAAACTCCTTGACAGGATCCAGGGGCAGCTGGTCGAAGCCATATTTGAGATTGAAGAAAGGGCAGTCGTTCAGCTGCCGCTTTTCGCCTTTCTTCTGAGCCTGCGAAACTCGCGGAAGATGGAGAGTTCGCTTTCTTCTCAGCTTATCGTCCTGCAGCCGAGGATCGCAGTAAGGACGTCGCTCGGGGGCTACCTTCTTTTGCATTCTAAGGACATGGATTCCGGATGGTGTGTGTGCGTGATCCCTCCGTCAATGTCGGCTTGTTAACGAATCGTATTCAAAGCCTACAACACAACGAAACACGATTTTCTAGTCTGTTTTCATTTGTTTCACTCTGTGCGGGGCATACTTTTCTCTACTCTCCCTTCGAGAAAAGTGGAAAAACGAAAAACCTACAGTTCGAATGGCAAAAGTTTGCACAGCAGCAGCAGCGAAATATTTGCGGGCCAGCGATGAACGTGAAATGTTTACAAACAAAGTCGAGGCCCAGGCAATGGGCATGGCATGGCCATGGCAACGGAGGACCCGGGGCCTCCTGGCCCAGGAACCAGGGAATCCGGGAACCGGGGGCGTACGTGTAACCCCGGCAACCAGTACCGGCTGCAAAAGCCGCTACCGGAGCCGGTGCTGGAGATTCCCCGACTCCCCGTCAATGCTCGCCTTTCAACGTGCTCCGCTCTGCTCGATAATATTTGATATTTGTGTCTGGCGAAGGGAAGGCTTCCCACTGATACAGCTGCATTCGCAGTCACACGGAGGAAAAAAATGGTAAAAGCAGTGGATTTCAAAATAAAGTCGTATTAAATCACGAAACTATTCATAACTATCTAGGTATTTAATAAACTTAAGAAGAATGACAGAAAATATAACTAATGATATTATGATAGCTTAGCTTTCAAATTAGTTACGTAGATTGAGCAGCCATAGTTAAAATCTCTTTTTGATAATATATTTTTTATTTTTCTATACCAAAGTCAATGGGTTTTAAATTATGGAAATATATTCTGAACATGCTACATTTCGTTTATAATCAATGATGCGGCCTGTTTAAACACAATTTTATACTCCATAAGCCATTCATTAAGGTTGTTCACAATGATAATAACAAATCTCCACTTAATGAATCTCGAATATTTTTTTGATTACAGATTTTACTTGGGTTTGAAATAGTTCAGTTACTTTTAATATTCCTTTAATATTTTCTTCAAGGCAGTCATTAAGGTTGTTCACAAGAATAATAACAAATCCCTCATTCTAGAATCTCAAATACTTTTTAGATTCGAGATTTTATTAGGGTCCTGAAGTTGTCCGCCTAACTTTAATATTTTTTTCAGTGCACCCCAAAGCACACGGAGCAGGCAGGTAACGCGGCAGCTTTTCTCGAAATGTGCACACATTTTTCAATAAAGCGCTGCAACTGCAGAAAAGCTGGTCGTAGCGTAGTGCTGCCGCCGCTGCTCCCGGCATTCTGTGTATTTATTATCCCATCTGTCTGGCGAAAGGAGCAGCACAGTGCTCGTCATTGAACCTGATGATATGTTGACAATGATGGAAAATAATAATACTGGTTCACAGGAGCTGGAGCTCCCTAATAGGGTTGCGGCTCAATGGGAATCCCATCCATAATGCTCCGAGGCGAGGCAACATAATCATGAGCCGATTTCGCAAGGAGATCCCGATACCACTGCATTTTGGACCACTGGCGGTATTGGCTTTAACAAAAACGTCTTTTGCTGGTTTATGGCACTGGTGTTTTGGGCTTCTGAGTCTGCAATTAGCGCAACAATTAATTGTGGCCAACTAATTGGAAATTTGATTAATGGGCGTATGCGGTTGCCTTACCTTTGTGGTCCTTCCTTACCGGCAAAGGCAGTCAACTTTGACCAACTTTGAGGGCGCAGTAAATGCGGTTGCCACAAATGCGAGATAGAGTTATCAAGTGTGTGTGTTTGGAGGTGTGTGTTGGAGGTGACAGGTCGTGGGAATAGTTGGGCATGCGAAACCATCATCGGAGGCCGGCAAAACCAGGATTCAGGACTCAGGATCCAGGTCATCTAACTGTCACGTGCCTAAGCCAACGCAATGCAGGTGCCACCGACAGATCCCTTGGGGAATAGAAAACCCAGAGAGCGGGTTTGCTGCAGTGCATCCCATCCAAAGCCGGGCGTGACAAATATTTATTAACTGCCACAGAACAGCGGCCATCAACTTAGGGCTTTGATCCGAGCATTAGAGAGCTAATAAAAAATTGATTCCGACTTCGTCAATTGTCACAAATAATGATTACCACGCATTTTCGGATACCCATCCTGGGGGCATGACACGCATCAAATTGCATTTAGTTTGTCATTGGCCTTTTGGGTGGGTTGACTTTTCCTGGGGGGGGTTTCGGGTTTGGGCTTTGGCAAACAAAGGACCGTAATGCGACGGCTGTCAGTCACGTGACCTCATTGCTGAAAATACACACAAAGGGGTGGGACAACATCATTATTAACAAAGTCAACGAGCAGCAACAAAAGTCCGGAGGAGCATCATCGTTTCCAGCCTGCGAGTATGCAACACTTTTCACCAGAACGGAAATAAGTCGAATCCAATCATACCCTAAGAAGCTTAACTCCCTAGTGGATGTGGATGAGGATGTGGTGCGCCAGTTTTCGGGAGTGAGGAAGTATGAAATTGGATATGCGCTTGCTTCCAACACAAAAGAAGGAATAAATCTTGGTTCGAAAGCAGGAAATAAATCATTGATAGTATAGGAAAATATGAAAACTTTGCATCGGAACTTCAAGAGTAAAAAGTAAAGGCTTAGCAAAAGGCTTTATATGCACCTTAAGGGGATTGCTTATTAAAACTTGATGATTGGTTTTTCATGAATGTTTTAGAAGAGAAAAACCGATTTTTTGAGCCATTAAAAATTATAGGCATATAACTAGTACGGTAGAAACATTGTTTGAACACTATATGAACAGATTCTTTAGTTTTTATAAACTATTCAAATGCTTGGTAGACCGTTAAGGTAATGTATTTTCATTTTGTAATATTTGAGTAGGTAAGCTATTATCCTGAAATTATGATGCATATGGAAAGAAAACGCTCAAAATTGTAATCAACAATATTTAAGGTCTCTGAAATTATAATGTATCAGAATTAATCAGAAATCAAGGATTAGTTTTATAATATTATAAGATATTTTTATTTTATTAAATATTGTGTAAAAAGTGTTTGATATTCCGAAGATTCTTTTAAGATAGGGTATAATTAAAGAACTGCCTCGTCAAGGCATCGTTTTCTCTTTTTTCTGCCCATTCCCCATTGTTTATTTGCCTCGATTCTGTATTTTTTCCCCGTTTGCTGCCATGGCGAATCGCATTTTGTCCACGTGATTAATGGCCAGTGCTGGAAGACGTCGCGACTTGAAAAATTACATTCAAAATAAACGACAGAGGCGTCGTGGTCGGCGTTTTAAAACGGCCCGTCACACGTGAGGGGGTAGCAAAGGGGGGTATATGGAAGGTAAAAGCGGGTCAAAGGGCGTGAGGTGGAAGGTGGGTGGCGGGAAAGCGAAGGATAAGGCGGCCAGTGTCGCATATCAGGCAGCAAAACTCGTCCTGACGCACGTAAAAGATGCAACAGGAGCGAGAGCAAACACCGTGTGATTTACACGCAGCCCACGGGGGGTGGGGATTGGGTTGGCTAAAGGCTGGCAGGGGTTTCGAAAAGGGGATGGGGTCATAGTGCAAATTAGGGGTTGACGGTGCCGTGCAGGCGACGCACTCGCTTGTCAATTGAAAACGTGCCAACAATTTGCAACGACGATTAATCGTGCGACCAAACTGGGAGTTACAATTGCCAGTGGTCCGGTCCTTTGGCAGCTTCTGCTCCTCCACCTCCTCCTGCTCCTCCTCCACCTCCTCCTCCTCCTGGCCAGGGTCTGACTCCAACTGTCTGGAATAGTCCTTTCACCGGCGGAACCGTGCATGTCGCGGCGCATTTGCAGCTCTGTTTACGACCAAGTTTGCCCTGCGTTTGACTAATTTGTGTGGACTCTATTATGCCTGGCTGGGAAATGGGAATGGAAATGGAAATGGGTTTGGTGGCAAAGGTTAAAGCCAAAGGTGGCCTGCCGACCTAAGCCTCGACAGACGTCTGATGATGAGCACTTAATTCCCGGTCGCTAATTGGCTCCAAGATGATGTTTCTAAGAAGGACACGCACCACTGGGATGATCAAGCTCGCAAGTCAAGCGATTTGCGGCACGTGAAATGATATATCTGCTGGGGTTAAAGCCAGCTTAAATCACGACTATATTTATGGCTGGTTAATTATCGGCATTCGCTTAAATTTTAATCAATTTTTATCGCTAATATTTCTTCTCCTCTGGCTTCATGTTATCATTAATAATGAATATAATTATGGAATGTCAAAGTGGGTAGAATGCAAAACGAAAACGGGGGGAAAAAAACCAAACGGGTGAAATACAATCGCTTTATACGGATGCAGATACAGATAGAGAGATACTGCGACCGGGCCATCATTAAAGGCTTTTGTATGCAATTACATGCCGCATTGAGCAATCATAAATTAGCTTTGCAAAAGTGCGATAAAAAAATGTATCGAAATTCAATTAAATTATAAAATGTGCAAAAATTTAATGCCCATAATGAAAAGTCGGCCCATCTCATGTTCGCATTAATCATAACAATTTGCAACTCATTTCTGCCCACCTCCGGAGCATCTCTCATTTCACATGGCTAAAATAAAAATTAAAAACAACGATTGCCTACTGAAATCTGCCCACTGTATATTCATATTTGTTTTAAATGTCAACAATCATCAATGCAAATTCCCTGCAAATATAGCCAGTCATTCCTGATTTATCCTCGAAACGTCGCATCAATTGCGATCGAGTGGCTTCTGATGGAGGGAAAACATGTGAATCGAAGTGGAAACCGCAATGTTGTCAAAGATAGAGATATATATGGACACCTGATGGCCTTAACTATTCAGCTGACCTTACTGCAATTGGAATAGCACAGCAGTAGTTAGATAATATTTGATTTTGAGCTACAAAATAAGCTATAATAAGAAACATAACTAATGACAATATTGTTCTCCGTTTGAAAACAGAATGGGAAATTTATTTAACTTAACATTGATGATATAACATATTTCAAAACATTAACGGAAAAGTCTTTAAAAGATACAAGTAGTGATGACAACATTGTTCCCTTTTTGGTAGCCGAGTGTCAATTTTATTTAACTAAAACCTTAAAATTGAGTTAAAAATTCATTGGCATATGCATTTTACCCCGTTCGATCCCACTTTGATGGGAATAGATGGCGAAACTTAGTTTTAAAATTAAATTATCGGTCGAGCAACTTTAAGGGCAGCGGCTGCAGGAATAACAATTCGCTTAGCTAAGCATTTTCGGCGCTCTCCGATAAAATTTCCAACCCGGGTAAATATTTGTGCGAATTTCTGCCGGAAAACCATGAAGCTCAACTATGTATGTCCATGTGCTGGTGATTTTCTCGGTAATTTACATGAGTGTGTGTGTTTGGGGGTCTGTGAATAAATTCTGCAATGCGTAGCTCAAAATTTCCAACACTAAATTGTTATGGTTTTTAGTCTTAAAGATAAACGTACTTAGCCAGGAGCCAGTGGACTCGGTCGTTTTGGTGTCGGTTCATTGTAAACTTTTGCATATGCCCGAAAATATTTACTCGTGCGGAGGTGGAGATTGTTTAGTTAAACCGTAAAAAGACTGGCATGTCCGGGTTTTCGGACTGAGTTTCATCCTCTGTCGCTGCCAAAGACAATGCAACATTTAAGAAAATTTAAGCCGCAGGCGACTTAAAAACGAGACGAGTCTCAGAGTCCCTTTTTGTCAGTGGTCCTTTTTTCAGCCGAGTCGGGCCATATGATTTAGCCATTCTGTTGTTGCTGCCATTGTTGGGGATTTGGCCTGCCTTTGCCTTTGCCTGTGCCTTTGGATTTTTTACTCATTGTCTTCGGAAAGCCCGAAAACAGCGAGAGACCAAAGTGGATGGCCAACTAGGAGCAAAGCCGGGGATAGATGGATGGACAGGCAAACAATTGTTGTTTGTATCCTGGTTAGCTTTGGCCCAGGATCTGCTGATGCCTCCTCATCCCGTGCTGCGGCTGCTTTGGCTGCTGTACAAATTAGTTTCTAATACCTTCAAGTCAAACAGTGGACCCGGAGACCTTTGCCGGCAGGGCAAACAGACAGCCCGCCCGGCAAACACTGGATCTGTGGATCAAATCGAGCCTGGTCAAAGTCTTGCCTTTGGTCCTGGCCCCCGCCCAGAAGTTTGCCGAATCACTTGAGCGTGTTTATGAAATAACGTTGACTCGAGTCGGGTCTATATAGTTGGTATATTTGGTACACTTGGGGGCGTTTTCGTTTGCCTTCGGACGCCCTGAGCCGCCTAATTACAAAACTCACCCGTTGTCGATTGATTCCACAGCAAATGGTATTTTAAATAGTTTCGCTTAGTTTCATTTAGCCCCATTTAAAGTCCACTTCAAAGGATTCCCCCGAAAACCCCTTCAAAGATTGCGTAATGATGCAGACGCTGCTCCTCCGACCGAAAGTTGGCCCGAAAACAGAACCACAAGACCAAGACCATGTGGCGGGTTTAATGAGCTAACTGATTCTCTCGATTCCTCGCTCACCGTCATCCTCCGTTTATCTTTGGCCAAAAGTTTTAAAATTAATTTTTAATTGTTTATGCAGCAAAAGTTCAGCTTCCAGTTAAAGGAGGAAGGCAACGGGAAAAATAAAAACAACTTCTGCAGCACTAAGGAATAATAAAGATACTTTTGTTCCCTGTTTGCATTGTGTTGCCTTCTCGAAAGACCTGGTGCTGCTGCAAAATAACCAATTTTCATTAGGCCAATAAGGATAATTAGCGGGTTAAAGATAATACACTTAGTACATGTCGCGTCTTATTAAAGAATCAAGCCAATTAAATGATATAAAATAAATATCTCTATATTATGAGTAGTACTGCGCCATTACATGTTTTCCATACTCTAACAAAGAATTATCAGTTAGTCAAAGCAAAAATTTAAATAAAGACTTAAGATTACATTTATTTATAGGGCTGATTGTATTTAGAATACAAATTATAGATATTTAATAAAAATGTTTAGGTGTAACACTGATTTCCTGATATTCTCCGATCTTTGAGAATTCCCGTGACCTTGTACTAGAACCACAAACGGCAGCTGCTTTTAGCCAACTAACCCACAGATCTGAGACCTTGCCTTGAGCAGAGTTCAGAGCAGATGTGAATGCAAATTTCGAACGGTGGGTATTTTATTCAGACAATAATCGGGGCAACAAAATGCCCATTGATAACGATCGTGTATAACCGTAATGTGGGGTGGCGAACGTCTGAACCCATGGGTATTACGACCGGGCCCATTTGCATAACACTGGCCCAAAAGAGTTGACGGCGCGGTGTCAGCACTAAAAGCAGAAAAACCAGCGGAAAACAGAGGCAATGCTTTATAAAAGAAAATTATGCAAATTGCTAATAAATTATAGTGAGCCAGCGAACGACATGTAAAATAATAACAAGCGGACGGAGATGGAGCTGGCGATGGTAGAATGTGGATGGTAGATGGTGGATAGCTTTTTCGGAGGAGGAGGAGCGGTCGCGAATTGAATTACAAATGTAAACACAATGCCACAGGACAGCGCAGGAGGACGAGAGGCGTTCCAGGACATGCCGGAGAGTGCTGACAGGATGGGGGAACGGGCAGGAGCACTGGCACTGCGAAATCATTAAAATAATAAAGCGCTGTGTTCGCTTTCAAGACGACAACAACGCAATGACGACGCTGACAACGGCGACAAGGACATTAACTGGCGAGCGGATAATGGCGAAACTTTTTGACATTTATTGTGTTTGTGTCGAATGTTTATTTATGATTGCACGCGGGCCGGGAAGTTCGGCCCGTATTTACATTACAATGATCAGAAGAGCATAACTAAGGGCCGCCGATTCGCAACCTCATACCATCCTCATACCATCCCCAATCCTCGGTTTTCGAATGCCCAGCCATATCATCGGCTTGTTTGCGTATGCGAATGCGTATTAAATTAATGATACTTTCTAGTTCATAAAATTCGTTATGCCAAAAGCTCTGATTCTCATTCTGGTTCCGAATCTGTTCTGTGTGCCAGTATCAACGTCAACACATAAATCAAATAATCACATAAATGAGAGCACAACACAAGCGCTCGCACTTGCGGCGGGTGTGTCTATTGGATTGAAACAAATTGATTGTCATAAAACATCGTTTATACATATTATAATGTGTCATAGGATGTTCATGCTTCACTTCATACTTTTGGTACGAGGCCCAACCGCCAAAAAATGTACAGTTGAGCTCACACAGCTCAAACCAACATCTGCCACATTTTAAATTTCAGATGTGCAAAGAATAAGTACCGGGAATAAACTTAAAATAAATGTTTAATGACTTGAAGGTTGGTTCAAAGAAATAATAAAAATCATATATTGAAGAATAGGATTTATTGTACTTAGACTTGTAATATTACAGACAACCGAATTTAAAATTTGCTTGTAAATATTTTACCAGAAGCAGATCTTAATATAATATATTATAATATTTCTTAGGTCGAAAGATAGTTATATTCAAGGATCTAGCTTAAAGAATGAAAGTGTTCGTTTATATCATTGTTTAATGATATGATATTTTTTCTAATCAATAGGAATATTTTATTTTACTTGTCTTGGATTAAACTAAAGCAAGAAAGTCTTGTGGAAGCTCCACTGTACTTGCATCCTCATCTCGGTGTTCCGCCACGTTTTCACAAGTGGCGATGTGAGTGATTGCGATAAGGACGCCGCTGTCCGGGGATTGGGAGTGTTTCATATATATTTTTGGCCCCTTTATGAGGGCGATAGTTCCCCTAGCAACTCCATCCGAAGTCACAAACCCAAGGCGGGCGAAATTTATGGTTGTTTACAGCAGATTGCACACCCCATTTGCTTTGTTTTGCACTCGCTGCCACTTGACACACATTTTGGGGCAAAAACTGAAGATGGCTATATGACGATGACTCTTGAAAAACCGAAAAACTTACGCAGTTTTGTCTCTTTAATTAGTCAAAGGCCGCGGGGCGGGGGGAAATGTTCGTAAGACCCACGGGAGCGCCAAAGTGAAAGTGCCCCAACATCATATGCATGATTTGTGAAAAGTTTCCTCCTTCTCCTGGAAAATTACTCCTTCTCCGTCCTCTTGCTGCCGCCAGCAAGCTTGTTTTGCCAAGTTTATGAATTTCATAGCCAAAGTTTTTCGGCAGCGCATAACATGCTACCAACTTGTAAGCTGCTCCCTGTTTTCTTGTCTTCGTCCTTCTCGCGTGCAGCATATTTTCGGCGAAATCTTTGATATCCTCGTCGCAAGGAGCTGTTAACGGGATGCGGGCCACAGTTTATTACAACAACTCTACGGGCCGTAAAATTCCCCATCGCACAATTAGCCGATTACGCCGCCAGGATGGTTTATCGATGGGTATACTGACATCAATGGTGACAGGCTACCGACTAAAATAATCGTTAACAATTTTAATTGAAATTTCAAAATCTGATATCTGGTTTAAATCTACTTTATTTAATCTGAAAAAGCAATCTATTTATTTATTTAGGTATATAATAAAATTAAAGCTCAATAAGTATTTTACTTACGTTCTTTTTAGGTTAGCAGTTCCTAGGAAGTGTAGTAACTTCATATTTGTATAAGATATTAAAAAGACATGAACATTACAAACGTCGCAACACTCGTATATTAAAACTTTTAAAATAAAACGTTTACATTGGTGTAGCGTGGGTATTTGTTCTGCTTATTTTTTCTTATAGTTTCAAATTGCTAATTTAATTATTGTTTTATAATATTATTCAGTAATATTTCACACAGTTATCTGATTAAATTCAATATGTAGAAATCTCATATAAAACAAATCCTTTACGAATCACAAAACGGAACAAATTAAAACAAACTCGAATACCTATTAGGGAAACCCATTAAACAAATACGTCGTGCTGCCCGTGCGACCTTTCGCCAATCATCAATCTTGAGCGGTTCGTTGAACTCCGAACCGAGTAGTACGCAAATTACCGATAGCCACTTGAGAAATTAACGTTCGAAACTATTAATAAATGTCCGTGCTGGGCGAGCAAACGCACGGTGCCATTAAAATGCTCGATACCATTGTGTTTTTGCATTAAATCTTGCTAAGAGGTCCGATGCTCGCTCTTGACCGTGAAGCTGTATCTTAAGGTATAGCAATAGCAGTCGAATCCGATCGGAGCAGCGAACTACAAACGAAAGCGAAACGTAGACCATTTAGTTCCGCACTGGGCAATCTTCGGGCAACTCCACCTATGGACTATGGGATAGTCAACCAAATTTTGACCAAATATGTCTACTGCTTAAAAAAAAACAATTTTCTAATAACATATTGGTATAAGATCAATGAAACTGACATAAAGGAAATTGGGTTGAACAATTACTTCTGGAGCTTAAAATAAACAATTTTCTAATAACATATTGGTATAAGATCAATAGAAATAGAAATAAAGGATGTTGGGTTGCACAATTATTTCTGCTGCTTAAAATGAACAACTTTCTTATAATTTGATGGTATAAGATCAAGATATCTTACACATAATAGAAAAAATAGAGGGATTTTACATTTTTATATCTAACTGTTACATAGTAACCGAACGGTTCTATAGATGTATCTGTTTTATATAGGTGGTGCAGGTATGAAACTCATGAAAAATTATACAGATGTGAAGAAGGATGGTATTAACATGATAACAACAAATATATTTTCTATATTAAGAATATAATATCAATAGGATTAGTATTTAGTGTTTCACATTCTCTTTTGTCTTTAAGTTGGAATATGATGGCATAAGCCTTTTCTATATTTTTGCCTATTTTACCCACTGTGCTCTGGACCAAACCGGCTTCCAGCTGGGCCTAATCTCCACGTGAAGATGAGGCTGGGAGACGCCAAGGGTGGCGGGGGCACTTGAGGGCTCGAGTGGCACATGTTGGGGCTTTGGCCAGATTCATTGCTTTGTTACCGATTCGGAATCGGTTTCGATTTCGGTTTCCGCCGCTGTTTGCCGGCAAACAGAGCGCTGGTCATTGTTTGGCTTGAAGCTGGCAAACATTGGAGCGTATAAATATGCGGACAAATTGCGACGATTAATCATTCGACCCATAGATTCCATCGTTAAAGCAATTAGCTTGGAGATCTATAGCAAAATGGTGAATATCCCCGCAGCAGGATGCCCTAGTCACAGGATTACTCTAACATTATACATTCCTCCGCATTGCAGAAACTTTTCTTAGCGTGCATCTTTATTGCCGCCGCGACGGCTGCAGTGATTCCTGTCGAACAAGCCAGGCACCGTCGTGACGTCTCCGAGATCGTGAACGAGTACATCCCGCCGGCGGAGGAAGTTGGCGCCGAGCTGGCCCAAGACCCCGCCGCCCTGGGAGAAGATGGATACCGCTACAAGACCGTGCGCCGCCTGAAACTCCGTCATCGTCGTGATGTTTCCGAGATCGCCAACGAGTACCTGCCCCCCACTGAGGATGTTGCCACTGAAGCCCCCATTGAGGAAGCCCCAGTTGAGGAAGCTTCTCAGGATTCCGCTGTTCTTGCTGCCGATGGATACCAGTACAAGACCGTGCGTCGTCTTAAGTACCGCCAGCGCCGCGATGTTTCCGAGATTGCCAACGAATACCTGCCCCCTACCGAAGAGGTGGTTGCTGATGCCCCAGTTGAGGAGGTTCCCATTGAGGAAGCCAGCCAGGATTCCGCTGTTCTTTCTACTGATGGATACAAGTACAAGACTGTCCGTCGCCTGAAGCTCCGCCATCGTCGTGATGTTTCCGAGATCGCCAACGAGTACCTGCCTCCTACTGAGGATGTTGCTACCGAAGCCCCCATTGAGGAAGCTCCAGTCGAGGCTGCTTCTCAGGATTCCGCTGTCCTGGCCGCTGATGGTTATCAGTACAAGACTGTGCGTCGCCTTAAGTACAGACAGCGCCGCGATGTCTCCGAGATTGCCAACGATTATCTGCCCCCAACTGAGGAGGTTGTTGCCGATGCCCCAATTGAGGAGGTTCCAGTTGAGGAAGCTAGCCAGGATTCTGCTGTCCTTTCCGCAGATGGATACAAATATAAGACTGTCCATCGCCTGAAGTACCGTCAACGTCGGGATGTTTCCGAAATCGCCAATGAGTACCTGCCCCCCACTGAGGATGTTGCCACTGAAGCCCCCGTTGAGGAAGCCCCAGTTGAAGAAGCTTCTCAGGATTCCGCTGTTCTGGCCGCCGATGGTTACCAGTACAAAACCGTGCGTCGCCTGAAGTACCGCCAGCGTCGGGACGTTTCCGAGATTGCCAACGAATACCTGCCCCCTACCGAAGAGGTTGTTGCTGATGCCCCAGTTGAGGAGGTTCCCATTGAGGAAGCTAGCCAGGATTCTGCTGTCCTTTCCGCTGATGGATACAAGTACAAGACTGTCCGCCGTCTTAAGTACCGTCAGCGTCGTGATGTTTCCGAGATTGCCAACGAATACCTGCCCCCCACCGAAGAGGTTGTTGCTGATGCCCCAGTTGAGGAGGTTCCCATTGAGGAAGCTAGCCAAGATTCTGCTGTCCTTTCCGCTGATGGATACAAGTACAAGACTGTCCGTCGCCTGAAGTACCGTCAACGTCGGGATGTTTCCGAAATCGCCAATGAGTACCTGCCCCCCACTGAGGATGTTGCTACCGAAGCCCCCATTGAGGAAGCTCCAGTCGAAGCTGCTTCTCAGGATTCCGCTGTCCTTGCTGCCGATGGATACCAATACAAGACCGTGCGTCGTCTTAAGTACCGTCAACGTCGTGACGTTTCCGAGATCGCCAACGAATACTTGCCCCCTTCCGAGGAGGTCGTTACTGAGGCTCCTCTGGAGGAGGCTCCTGTTGAGGAAGCTTCCCAAGACTCCGCTGTTTTGGCCGCCGATGGATACCAATACAAGACCGTGCGTCGCCTGAAGTACCGCCAGCGCCGCGATGTTTCCGAGATTGCCAACGAATACCTGCCCCCATCTGAGGAGGTTGTTGCCGATGCCCCAGTTGAGGAGGTTCCAATTGAGGAAGCTAGCCAGGACTCTGCTGTTCTTTCCGCTGATGGATATAAGTACAAGACTGTCCGCCGCCTGAAGTACCGTCAACGTCGTGATGTTTCTGAGATCGCCAACGAATATCTGCCTCCTACTGAGGATGTTGCTACCGAAGCCCCCATTGAGGAAGTACCAGTCGAGGCTGCTTCTCAGGATTCCGCTGTTCTTGCTGCCGATGGATACCAGTACAAGACCGTGCGCCGCCTTAAGTACCGCCAGCGCCGGGATGTTTCCGAGATCGCCAACGAATACCTGCCCCCTTCCGAGGAGGTCGTCACCGAGGCTCCTCTGGAGGAGGCTCCTGTTGAGGAAGCTTCTCAGGACTCCGCTGTCCTGGCTGCCGATGGCTACCAGTACAAGACCGTGCGTCGCCTGAAGTACCGCCAGCGCCGCGATGTCTCCGAGATTGCCGGCGACTACCTGCCCCCCACCGAGGAGGAGGTGGTGGCTGATGCGCCCGTCGAGGAAGTGTCCCAGGACTCCGCTGTCCTCGGAGACGAGGGCTACCGGTACAAGACTGTGCGCCGCCTGAAGCTGCGTCATCGCCGTGCCCTGTAAGACTCGACTGGCGCAAATCTACCTCAACCTGTACCTGAACAGCTCGTTCACGACTCGAACCACTCACCCCCACCAACCACTATTAGGCCGTAAGTTTTGCTATTATTTAACGATTGAAATCAACGAATAAATCCAACAAAAATTGTTATACCATAACCCGCTTGTATTTGTGTTTATCCGACTCCGGGGAGCCCACTCTGAGGACTGGGCACCTGTTGGGAATGGGACTTGGACTCGATTCCATAAATTGTGTACCTTTTCGCTTAGTTATGACAGCAACAGTTAAGCTCATGGCTCAGCGCACAGGAACGCAATTATCCAAAATCGAGGTGGGTGAAGGCGACGGGTCAGCGGGCTGGTCAGGACTCGACCCTGGGTTTCGTCCCGGGTCCTGGCACCTTGCTCGCTGCCAGGCACAACTTCGGCGAACTCTAACAAATACTTTAAGCTATGCTTTTGAAGATGTTAATCTCATGTCAAGTCCACTTTACACACAACGTTAAGGGTTTGCCCTGGCCTGCCATGTCCTTCTCAGCCCCTTTATCCCTGCACTGAGAAAAATGTTAAGGCTATTATTACTTTAAATAATTCTATAATTCCCACAAATTATGATAATCCCGAACTATTTTGATTTTGAGTAGGAATTAACAATATTTTTTGGTATTTAGGTATTCATAATACCCAGCATAAAATATTATTTTTTATCGCTTATATACAAATTGTATTACAATAATTATTGAAAATATTTTTAAAATATTTTCTGTCAGTGCCTCCACCCGCCAGGAACAAAGTCACCCATTGATTTGCGAGCGTGGGTGTGCGGGTGTGGGTCGTTGTTTGGTGTTGGCAGGAGCAGAAAAAAAAAGTTGTTAAGTTAAAAGGCATTTGAACCGCAGCGAGCCAAGGATTTCGGTCAGCGCTCCTTTCTGGGATCTAACAACTTCCTTTGCACGCGCCTCCAACAAGGAGGTTGGCCCAAAGAGGAAGGACTCGGCCCGGGGACCGTTGGACAGACGAACTAATAATAATTTATCGATCCCCTAGCCCAAGTAGTCACATACGTGGGTCGCCCTATGATTTATGGCAGCCAGGGACTTGAGTGGGCGGGTCCAAAACGGGGATCCTGGGACGGGCCAATGGAGGCGGAGCTGGCAGGACCTGCTGGCACAATCCAAGGTGCCAGACTGGCGGCCAGCGCAGTGCCAAATTGGTTTAATGTGTGGTTAGACAACTTATTTAACGTTTTCAAGTGGTTAGCGCCCACACAATCTCGCCCTGCCAGATATGTGGAGCAGGGACAGTCACTCAGGTGGTCCGGCTCTCATTGCCCGGGGGCAGGTGTGGGTACTACACTATAAATATTTATTTTACCGCAGGTCTTTCAGTTTTGATTTGGATTAGTAAATTCACCAGGGAGTTAAAGGGTTTTAATAGATATATTTACGTTTTTGATATATGCAACGATGTTGTGGTATTCTTAAAAACTTATGTCATTATTAAAATACAGTAATTTCTTACTAAGGACACTTATTTTAGTTGTATGAATTATTTAATTTGCGGCAAAATTATGCTACTCCTGAGTAAGCAATAAATAGAATTTAAGAAACAACCCATAAAAAAATGAATATTTTTGAAAAGGAAATAACATATTTTAAAAAGGTTAATTTAATAAGAACATAACTTGTATGATTGATGAGTTTGAACTCTTATTTTTTCCACTGTAGGTATATCGTTTTGTTGCGCTTTGTTTGGCCACATAAATCATGCAATGCCGTTATTTACTCTTTTGTCGAGCGGCAAACTGGTTACGTATGCCACTATCTGCGGTATCTACAAGTGCACAAGCCCCGGGCTGACGCCCCCACTCTGGGAATCTGGTACTCCGGGGGGTACGGGTATGGGCATTCGATTCGGAATGGAGCATAAATCAGTTGAAGCCATTCTGTAAGCACGCCATCAAGGCGAAATTATGACATCATTAAAACAATTATCTGCGCTAAATTATACGATCTGATAAGTCGCGACAAGACACCCACTCACCCCAGGATATAGTTTCTTTTTTCGGGGGAGAAATCACATAAAAATTTTATGAATTATTTCAAATATTTTCAATTACCAAGGGTTCAAGCCGAGTCGAAAGCTTGCGGAGGACCGCATAAATAGATTTATGCTCCACTCGAGCATGGCACATTAACAGGACATTCCAAGGAGCGGCGAGAGTAATGAAAGTGAAATTATGGCTTTCGACCCTGACCCGATGGCAACTGCCTCAAATTTTAGCTTGATTAAAATTCAAAAAGTTCTCGGTCACATGCTTGGGGCCATAATTTATCACTTAATGGCCTCTCATTATTGAAGTGGGTTTAATTTGTTGATTCAACAGTCGTTCTTCAAAATCAATTCCTGTCGCTGATTAGCTTGATTCCCCTATTTGGTCACATGCAAATAGAACTATTCCGGGGACCAAGATAAGATGTCAAGATACCAGGGTCCAACCATTATGACATCAGCTACACTGAGAACATAACTCAAAGGAAGTTCATTTGAAATTTTGAGAAAAAAGAAATCTCTGATGTGTTAAAATCAGTTGGTTAAGTGTACATTATAAGAAATATATCAATACAATGTCAAGTTTATTTTTGAAGAATGAAGAATAAAGAAATCTCCTATGGTTTGAAGTCAGTTTCTAAAGTGTACATTATAATTGATATATCAAGTAAATTTTCAGATTTTTGTAACACTTTTGTGAAGATATATATATAATTACTTGTAACCTCTTTTTATGTGTTTTTTGATTCTGAAACCCTCCATTTCTTTCTGTGCATGGACGTGGACATGAACATGGACATGGCCATATCTATCTGTGTGGTAAACATGGTGCAGCAACTTTATGACCACAATATAATTTATTCAATGCCATTTGGAGGAGCAAGGATGAGGGGGAGGATGAAGCCGGGGGAGGGCAAGACAAGCAATTGACATTTTTGTGACTTTTGAAAACTATAAAATGTGCAGCTCGGAACATGGCACATGGAGCATGGAACATGGCAACTGGCAAATAGCAAACGGCGAAGCCAAGGCAAGGGCATAATGATGACGGGCATAAAGACCGCACAACAGACAGCTATATGGTTGTGCCATACATATAGGGACCGGCTGAGCCGGGCATAAAAATAAACCCGGCACCGAGCGTAGTTGTTGGACAAAATAATAAAGTTGCGCTTGATTATGTGTTGGCCTCGGACACAAAGAAGTAAATACAAATACGCCGGCAACTAGACTAAAATTGTCAGGACTTACAGGACATTACACGTCCGCCCACGAGGATCTGATGGCCACAGGACCCTGGCCATTTGTCCAGCTCGTCAACGGCAACACGGGCACAGGCCACCAGCAGCAATAACAACATCAACAACACGGAAGGAGCCCAAGGAGCGTATGCCGGATATCCTTTTTGACATGTCATTAAATTTTATACACACAATAATTTTTCACAATTTGCTTTATGGCCATTTTAAGAGTCTGCCCTGAGTTGAAAATTCTCCACACGCCCATGTAAGCATCGACACCCTCGACAAAAGGTTGAGACAATGATATAGACACATATCAAACACTGGCCAGATCCTTCAAGTTTCCTCGGGCTGGTCGGTGAAAATGATGGATGGGACAGGGGCCAACTGCTTGGGGTCAACAAAATAAGATGGAATTGATATAAAATTGGTGTAGAATATTCAATCATTCTGGGTGAGCTTATGTTTCGACTCAAGAGCTCTGCTCAGATGTTGGCCAAATTGAAAACTGTTTGTACATCCTTAATGAATTGATGTAACGTTTTGCATAAATAATAGGGCAGAGACCTTTGTTTAACAATCCTTTAAAGGTTCATTGTTTAGGGTGTCGGTTAAAACTAATCAAGATTATTGCTTTTCATCTGGGGCCTACGAGATTTAAGGTAATACCTACACTTGGGAAAAAATGTAAAATTAAAATTATTATAAATTAAATTAAATTAGGTCACTGAATGATTAAATATTTACCATTATATAGTAGAAAAGCCACTGATAGATAAGTTTATTAAGCCACAATTTTCATTAAATATTATTTTGAATTTTCAATTGGCTTATGTGCATAGTCTTTGGGTCTTCACTTATCTAAGCAACCTGTGATTTATGTTATAGGTCTTCATTTAGCCTAGCATTTAACTTAAGCCAAAACGCCTAACTGTCCTACTTCAATGAAACGCACTGTATGATTATTTGCAATCATCTTTCGGGAGGCAGACATCAAACCGCAGAACGATTATGGAGGCAACTCTCTACGGTCATAAGCCCCAAATGTGGGGCCGCAAAAGCAGCAGGATCCGCATCCAAAGGACACTTGGCTGTACCGTATAATTTTACGGCCATTAAGTATTATTTCAAAATCGAACCGAGCCACACTAAGCCTTTGTTTGTTTGTGTCCGGTGTTTCTAGATTGCTGAAATTATAGCTTTTATTATGATACACTGATGGCCGGGTCAAGTGCCGGTGTTGTTAAATTGGCTTAAGGTGGAATTATAGAGCACCGAAACGATTTCAACCGAATCGATATTGGGGCCAATCACAAGGGGGAAAAGCATTGAACTCAAACAGACAGATATTCCACACACAAAATGCAAAGCGAACTTGAAAAGTCTCGTTTGAGGGAAGTTTGGGGGAACTGCAGTATCCGACTTATAGCCCCCCTTGCCATCCAGCTAGTTAGCCATATGTGGTTGTCAAGCAAAGCCAAGTCACTCTCTGGCAATAAAGGAAATCTTCTTACAAAACATTCGCTTAAGTTTATTCAAACAAACTTAGATAACACTCGAAGAATAAGAAGACCGAGCTCCGGAGACGGAGAAGAATGGAGATGGGGCCACACAGGCAGAGACATCCGGAGCAGGGAGCAGGGGCAGGGAGCAGAGACAAAGGAGCCACCAATCAGTCAGGCGGAATAAGCATCACCGCACGAGCCCTCGAACTTTTCCTCGTCCCTGTGCCCATTCCAATATCCTCCAATTACAATGTCTTTTGTTTTATATATGTGACTGGGCACACTGACAAAACTGGAAAACATAGGATTCATGAAGCTTATTATACAAGCTGGTTTTGAATTCATTTTATAAAGATCACATTATGAAGATATAGTAGGTTTAAACTATTGAAAATCAGCATATGTATATATCCTCCTAGGCCAATGTCTCCAAGCTTCTAGGAAATAATGTAAAATCATTTTTCGTAGTATACTTTTAGACACCTGTATCGATAATTTAAAATATCTTAGGATATCTTTTTTGGTTTCATAATAATACTTT